TTCATACTTTATTTAATATACTTACTTTTTCTGGGATTTCTAGTCAGGTCTAGTCAGATCTAGTTAAATTCTAGTCACAGCTAGTTGCAACATAACCTTAACTAGATTTCAGCATAACCTTAACTAGGTTTAGCATCTAGTTAAATTCCAGTTAAATCCAGTCAAATTTTAGTCAAATTCTAGTCAGAGCTAGTTGCAGCATAACCTTAACTAGATTTCAGCATAACCTTGACTAGGTTTAGCATCTGGTTAAAGTCTAGTTAAATTCTAGTCAGAGCTGGTTGCAACATAACCTTAAATAGTTTAAGAAAATCAACTTAGGATAATTTCGAAACCAACTTAAAGAAATAATTTTCCATATAATAAAAGGTATGAACTTTCCTATGACAGTACCGGAAGAGATCCGTCAGTCGGAGCCGTCTCCCTCAAATTGGTTGACTTTCTTCGGACAGGCGAGAAAGGAGTATCTAGATCTTCTTGCTTTAGAGGAACCTGTGAAGTTTCCGAACAAGCATTTCTGCTCTGAGGGACACAGACATCATCTCGTCTCCACAGACGGGTTTCGAATGTGTTGGTCATGTGGATTAGTTGCTGGTAGGATCCTCAATCCCGGTTACAGCTACGGTTGTAGCGACAGTGTGGTGGTGAGGAACCGGGAAATGGACATTGATGGTAGGTTCGAAGCGTTCTGTACAAGGAGGAAAATAACATATTCCGATTTACCGACACATGAAAGACGTTTGATAGCGGAAGACATTCGTAAAGTTTACGAAACCTGAAAGAAAGAGACTTCCTAATCTCAATATTCTAACTTACAGATATGTAAAAGGCATAACATAAAGTTAAACGAGAAGCTTCTTAATATTCCGGTAAGCAAAGCTTCACACGACCGGTGTAAAAAGTATTCCAAACACTGGGCTGGGAATACATTGACCAGTCATCGTTCCTGTAGGCAGTGATGTATACCTAACGCCCAACGGTATATAGTTCTGTGACGTGGGGGACTGGTAGAAGGAAAAAAGCGTCGTGTAAAATTTTAATGCTTACTTAACATTAAAATTGGAATAGTAATTTAAGAGTGATGACGATGAGAAGAATTTCAACCGTTATCGGGTTGAGTAGGCAGCACACCAGACTCATCCATATTAGTCTCCACAGTATCCGGGTTCTGATCATTTACTTTATCATACTTTTTTACCGTTGTACTAACGTATCCGATTTGGGTGTGAGCATTGATAGTGAGATCACCACGTTCTATACCAATTCCGAAACTGAACATTTTCCTTTTCCGATGGTTCTTGTCGTACTTCACTTCGTCTATGGTCTCGGGTTTTGCATGTAAACATCCCATTTTATTTGTTCTTCTTTTTATTTTTCGCTGACTTTGGTTTTTCTCCCTTCACAGTTTTTGTTGACGGTCCCGCTTTGTCTTCCTTACACGACGTAACGTACTTGATGTTGGTTGTCTTGGATTTAACGTAACCGAGATTCAGTCCGCCTTTACTGAGTTTTATATCGACGTTGACGGTCCTGTCCCTTTTTAAATTTTCCTTAACTTTCATTCTATCGCTATTCATTTCTTTTATTAATACGAAAAGAAAATCCATCTCGAAGTGATAACCCCACCGATAAACATAGTGCCGAGAAGGTAAATCAGATTGTTTGATACTTTCGGTAGTATGCTTACCGTGTTAGGATGTGGTATGGGGTTCCGGTCTTTGCGTGGGATCAGGCTTTGGGTCTTTACATCCGGACTCTTTTTTATCTCCTTAGGCTTTGAATAGTTAACATCCGTATTACTACCGAACTTCATGTTCTTTGTTGCTAGTGTTAGTGTATTGTTGTATCCTGCTATCTTTTCCTTGAGTATAATCATATTGGATGGTATTAATATTAATCCGGGTGATATCGCCATGTTAAGTACAACGTTAGTATCCTTTATTGCTTTCCTCATGTTGGAGATGGATACCGATACATCGTCTTGCGCAATGGTGTCTTTGAAAAGTTTGTGAAATACGTCCTGAGTTTGTAGTGACTTCGCTCCCTTACCAACGATAGACCAACGTGTTTGTGCTTGCGCACCTAATACGCAATAGACATAACTTTCGACAGATTGTTGAAGTAACTTTAATCCTAAAGGCGTCAACCCGTCTGATTTCTTGGCAATGAACCAGGTGTAATCCGTATCGCTGTTGTTAGTGACCCTGTCTACTTCCTGATAGCTAATTCCCATTACACCACCGATATGGTAGTATGAATATCTATAGTTCCTAACCCTACTCTTATCCGGAAGTCTGCTATGCCAAAGAACTATTTCCGTCTGTCCTCGGTGAAACTTGTTAACCCACGTTTTCTGTGTGGGCATGTTTCTCTGCAGGGATTTTAGCATATCCTTTGTTACATATTTTGTCATTTTGCTTGGGTTTCTAAGAAACCTACGCATGTGGTAGTATAGGTGATACCTAGCAATACTTGTGATTATCTTTGAGGTTCCTTTGCTTTCCAGCAGATGTTCCGTACTTATCCCACACTTATACGTGATAATGTAAGCAGCCAGTATCGATGCAAAATAGGGGTCGTTTATATAATTGAACTTTACCCTGGTGATATCCTTTGCGGTACCAGTCCATTTTGTGTCGAGATCGGCAAAGTTGGTTACAAAACTGTTGTGAGAGGTGTTGGTGCAGTCGCAAACGTAAATTTCAAACCTATTTATTTTGTATGGAAGCGGATCCCTGTTATGACTAAAGGTTTGAACGGTTCCATAATTACCCCATATTCTCTCCCATTGGTAAAGGTACCACGTCCACTTTTTATTTCCCCTGAATGTTCTGGATGTGATGTTGTAACTTTCCAGGTCTGTAACCTTAAAGAATATGTCTCTGGATTCTAAAGTTCCATCCTTTGCAAATGTAACCTGAAAGTCAAATTTAGACATTTCTGCACCCGGATATTTTTTCCTAAAATCCTCCTTCATCTTCCATCTTTCAATGGGTGCTGCCGCCTTTACTTTTTCGTAGTTCTGTCCATAATATTCGCGGAATATGTTTCCACTGGTACTCATTTTATTTAATCCATGTAATAAAAATGAAGAAGTTAACAGTGTTTATCGAGGATGGAACTACCGAGTTTTTCCCAGACAAGTGTATTACGACGAACGCAGAGTCGGAATTAATCCTAAAGAACGCAACCATCTACTGGGCTTATAAAAACGTACGTTTGAATGCCAACGATAATATTACCTATGGACAAAAGAAGATTACCTTCGAAGATGGCTACTGGACCTTTGATGCAATAAAGAAAAAACTGAAGGCAGACGGAATAACAATAGAACGTAACACACACAATAATACATGCAGGATCTATCCGGCAACCAAGGTGAACGTACATTTAAACAAATTTGCTCCACTAATTGGATTCCCAGAAACGGAGATCCTAACCTCTGAAGTGTGGGAGAGATCTCCCTATCCTATAGATATTAATCACGGTCTTAAATATGTTACTATCGACTGTGATGTTGTTAATACATCCCTAAATTTTGATGTAAACGGTAAGGGAAGTTTTACAGTGAGCACATTACCCGTGCCATCTGACCAGCATCTGAACGGAGCAACAACATTTTTCAAGGATATTGGAAGTAGGGTTTATGTTAATAATGGTTCCCATAACAGATTCACCTTCAGTATCAATACGAACATTGGTGATAAGGTTGATATGTCTGCACTTCTTGAATTTTATATCACATGAATAAAAATGGAAGATAAACACTTTGTTATCGAGCAAGGGTTAAGGGATATCTACTACAATCCAGGTACCGGCTATCAGTCCGCGGAGAAGCTCTATCGGAAAGGCAAAGGAGGAGGGACTAGACGTTAGTCGAAAAACGGTGAAGGACTGGTTAAAGACTCAAGATACCTATACAAGGTATAAGCCTATCGTTAGAAAACATAAATTTCAGAGAACATTCGTCAAAGACCTAGCAGACCAGGTGCAGATGGATTTAGTGGATATGGGAAAATACAAAAATCAGAACAAAGGATATTACTGGATATTAACAGCTGTAGAGATCTTGAGCCGGTACGGATTTGCTATTCCCGTCTACAGAAAGGACACGAAAAACATGACGAAGGCTGTGAACTTATTATTGGATGAATTCAAGAAAAGGTTTGGGAAATACCCGGAAGTTGCTCAGTTCGACGAGGGAAAGGAATTCTACAATGTTGGTGTTAGGAACCTCTTACAAAAACACAACGTCCGCTATTTTTCCACAAACTCTGACAGAAAGGCAGCTATCGTCGAAAGATTTAACAGAACCTTGAAGACAATGATGTGGAAGTATTTCTACAGCAAGGGGACTTACGACTGGTTCAACGTCATAGATAAGCTCACGAATAACTACAATCGTACCAAACACAGCAGTATACTAATGAGACCCGCTGACGTAAACAAGTCGAACAAGGATCAGGTATGGATCACACTATACGGTTACGGATTAGGAGAATTTCCATTGCCTAAGTTTAGGGTTGACGACACGGTCCGAATAACAAGGTATAAGAATATCTTTACCAAGGGATACGAAGCAAACTTTACGGAAGAGATATTCAAAGTCGTAAAAGTATTCAGGGGAGATCCTAACATGTATGAAATAGAAAGCCACGACGGAGAACCAATCATCGGAAAGTTTTACGAAGAGGAACTAGCCGCTGTGGACAAAAGGACGATGTGTATAGGGTGGAGAAAATTCTGAGAAGAAGAAAGGGTATGGTACTGGTCAAGTGGTTGGGATATGATAGTAAACACAATTCCTGGATTCCTGAAGAAAATATTAAGGATATAAAATAAATGGCTGACATTGAACTGGAAGAAACAAACCGCGACAACGATCGCGAAGCTGAAGAAGCTGGAACGGCGGAGGAAGAAACAAGTTTCATTGACAATGATGATGGGAGACGTGACGAAAGTATATTAATTCCCATTGGATTCAATCCGGACGTTGATGGATCAAGACCCAGCGGTTCCACACCAAACATCAGACGAGATGCTGGGGTAATGAAACGAGCCTATACGTTGGATAAAAAGGATTTCTTCAAAAGGGAACTAGGAGTAAATATCAATAAGGGAGACGGTCCATCTTCCAGCATTATCTTTGACAAAATGAAACTAACCGTAAATAAGGCTGGAACAAAAATTAACGGTGCTACATTCAAAGATGTCAAGATCATTATCTCGAAAAATGGTAAAATGATATACTCTGCAGATAAGAACAAGGAATCCGTCGTAAATGAATACAAAGAACTGATCAGGAAAGCTAAAATAGAGCATTCAAAAACACCTGCAGCCTTGGTAGAGGAACAACTCGAACGACAGAATTTAGATGCTCCTCAGGAACTTGTGGATAACGTACTGGAAAATATCGTTGAAAGAATGGATGACGAACTGTCTAATCAAAGCGAAGCCATCGGTGATAGTACAATTATAACGGAGAACGAACTAAGGGAACTGAGAGGTATTCTGAACGTAAAAGGAAACTCGGGTAAGCAAAAGATTGAGTATCTTGGGGTAGAAAGAAACCATTGGAAAGAACTGGCTAGAACCGAACGAACTGCAGGACGTGAACAAAAGGCTCTCCTGTACGAAGCAATGGCAGACATGGCAGAACTAAAAGCGGATGAAATAAGGTTAAGATCAAACGAACGACCAAAAGGACCGAAAGCCCTGTCCATCGTGGAAGAGGAAACGGAAACAAGCGATCTTACGAGGTTTGAAAGATTTAGGAAGTGGGCAAAAGAAAACATAGCTGGAATATCAGCCGTTGCAATATCTGCGGCGGGTATCATCACCACGATTATTATGGGAGCCAGAAGTGCAGCAAAAAAGGGAGCAAGAGCAACAAGCAAGTTTGCAAAAGCAGTGGCAAACCTGGCCGGGAAGGTCGGACCTGTACTAGCATCCGTACTGACCCTCATCGCTAAGGTTCTAGGATGGGGGGCAAAAGGCATTGCGTTCTTAGCGAAGAATCTTTGGATCCCAGCATTGGCATTAACCTACTTCCTGTACAATGAATACAAAAAGAAAAAATAAATACCATATAATAAACAATGGGAGATAGAAAAGCTTTTATGAACGAAGCCTTCGACGCAGGACTTATTACACTCGGAGCAGTCGCTGCGTCTGTGGTAAGCAAAAAATTTGCAGGTGACAGTCTCGGAGTACCTAGTACTCCGAAAGGAATTTTAAAACTAGCCGTAGCCCTTGGAGCTGGTGCGGTTGGAGTTCACTACTTACAATTCAAAAAACTATTACCGGATGATCCATTTAAATAAAGGAAATGACAAGCGTCGTAGTCGGAGGATTATTCAACGCCGCAGCATTTGCAGGAGCTGGATTCCTGTTCAGCAAATTAAATCACAGTGGATACAAAGATGAAATGAAAAGACATAACAAAGCGTTGGAAAAATTAACTAAAGCTAAGGAAAAATGGTATGAAAGTCAAGTGGAAAAAAAGAACAGAATTGCAATACTCAGGCAGGAACTAGGTGATGCCAAATCGGATATGGAAGTGACAAACCGCGCTCTCGATTCTCTGCGGAAAGCGCAGGAGGAATTAACCCTGGAAAAAGAACCAACAATTCACGATTACTACAAACCATCGAGCGAAATGGAAGAATACCAGCAGATCACGATCGGAATACTAGGTCTGGGGTCCGGGTTCATAATTACAAGACTATTATGAAAAACGGTATAAAAACATCGGTTGTACACCACCACGTACGTCGACAAAGGGGTATCCCAGTTTGGGATATCCTTTTTATTTCCCCTAGTCTGGATTCATTGCTTTTTCAAATCTCAAAAATTTGAAAAAGAAAAATGACTATGTGAAACGATTTTTTTTTTAGGGAAACCACATATACAATAAATAATGAATCTGAATAGACCGAGTACAGCTCCTCTATTGGATACGGATATTCCCAGCGGCTTACCACCAACCCTAACGCCGACCAGGTACGAACCTCCACCTCCACCAGCGACAAAAACATACACATGGCGTGAATGGGGTGAGTGGCTAGTCAAAGACGTGCGGAAAGATATAAAAAGGAAAGTCACCGACGCGTACAGAATATTTAAAAACAAGGTTTTAAGTCTGTACGGTAAGCAACCAACGCTAAAATCAACGTTAGTCTCTAGTGCCATCAAAAAGAATACCGCTAAATGGATGATACCCGGTGATGAGTTCAAAGATCCCTGGGTCTTCTTAAACAGTGCAAGACCTGAAGTGGAAAAGATCGTTAACGGCGCTGAGGGTGCAAAAAAGGTGTACCTTGTACTAAAATGTGAACTCGTAAAAGAAGATCCAAAAACCAAGCAGAAGACATATACAGTATTCCACGGAAGAAGTAATACTCACGCAATCACAGTTAACATCGGCGGAGAGTATGAAAAAATGCGTGCAAAAATGTTAGAAAGTCTGGCAAAATTTCAGAAGAACGGTAGTAACTGGAGATTACACAAAGTGGAAAAGTTAGAAGTGTCTGTCACAAAGTATGAACCGTTGAAAGGGAAGGGATATACAACACCTCTCCCAAAACCTCTAAAAGAGAAGAGAGTCATCATTAACATAAAAAATGAGGACAACCAGTGTTTTAAATGGGCAGTGACTAGAGCTTTGAATCCTGTGAAACGTGACGCATGTAGAGTCACAAAAATCTTAAAATTACAGGTTGAAAAATACAATTGGGAAGACATAGAGTTCCCAACGAAAGTTAAAGATATTCACAAATGGGAAGAGAAAAATAATATAAACATTAACGTATTCGGATACGATGAGGAAACAAAAAAATTATATACGTTAAAACTCGGAGAGCAAGAAAATCCAACGGAAACAGTAAATCTATATCTGCACGATGACAACCACTACTGTGTAATTAAAGACCTAAGTCGTCTTATAGCGGCACAACTTAGCAAGGGTAAACGGCGGAAATTCATCTGCTTACGATGCATAAATGCATTCGGGACGGAAAAACTCCTAGCTGAACATACAGCACTATGCGAAGATCATAAACTACAACACCATTATTACCCATCCAAAGGTAGCACAACATTCTTCAAAAACTTTGAACGGTTACATGAAGTACCATTCATGGTGAACGCAGATTTCGAATGTTTTCTAGAACCAATGGATCATGTAGAAGGTGATCCAAAAACGTCATTCACAATTCAATATCAAAAGCACAGACCAAGCGGATTCTCATACACGATAAAATGTATGGATAAGAACGTTTACAAAACAAAATTTATAACGTACACAGCACAAAATAAGGATGAGGATATAGGAAAAATCTTCGTTAACTCACTGGAGGAAAATCTGAAACCGGTGTATGAAATTCTTAAAAAAGTAACGCCAATAAGCATGACAGAAAAGGATAAAAAGAACTACACTGGATCCAACAACTGCTATGCATGCAATATACAATTTGGAACCGTCAGGATAAATGAATGGAACGGTAAGGAAGAAAAAGTAATTAAGTGTAGAGATCACTGCCATATCACTGGCAAATACCGAGGAGCCGCATGCGATAAATGCAACCTACGAATGAGAACACCAAAGTTCGTACCAATACTTTTTCACAATTTGGAAAGTTACGATGCACATTTGTTTGTAAAAAGTCTAGGTTTCAGTGAGGGTTATATTAATTGTATTCCAAAAACAGACGAAAAGTATATATCGTTCAGTAAGAGAATCCCTATGGAGACTATCGAACTGGACGATGGAGAGAAAACACTGTGTCTGGAAATGCGGTTCCTCGACTCATACAAGTTCACGCTCGCATCACTCGACTCTCTCGCCAACATGCTCGGTGAGGACGAATTTAAAACATTAGAAAGCCAAATGGAACACTCAGGAATAGAATTACTAAAAAGAAAAGGGGTGTTCCCGTACGAATTTATGACGGATTATGACAAATTACAATACAATAGGCTACCCAGTAAGAAAAAGTTTTACAGCAAATTAAATAACACAGACATAAGCGATGAGGACTATGAACATGCACAAAAGGTTTGGAAGGCGTTCGACTGTAAAACGATGCGTGACTACCACGACCTCTACCTCAAGACAGACGTACTGCTTCTCACAGACATCATGTGTAAGTTTAGGAAAATGTGTATGGAAAATTATGGATTAGATTCATTACACTACTACGGTGCGCCAGGACTCACGTTGGACGCAGCACTAAAGTTTACCAAGGCAAAACTAGAGCTTATTCACGACCCAAACATGTACCTCATGATCGAAAAAGGAATTCGAGGTGGAGTCAGCACGATAATGAAAAGATATGCGAAGGCAAATAACAAATATATGAAAAATTATGATCCGAAAAAGGATAACATATACATACCATACTTAGACGCTAATAACTTATATGGATGGGCAATGAGTCAACCATTGCCAGTCAGAAACTTCAAATGGATGACAGAGACTGAACTAAGCAACTGGGAAAACATTCCATGCATACTGGAAGTGGACTTGGAATATCCAGAAAATTTACATGACATCCATAACGAATATCCACTCGCGCCGGAAAGCATAGAAGTAAATAAAGTTAAGAAATTAATCCCAAACTTAAACGATAAGAAAAACTATGTATTGCATTATAGAAACCTGAAACTATATCTAGAATTAGGGCTAAAACTAACAAAAGTACATCGCGGGGTAAAGTTCGAAGAAAGTCCATGGTTAGCAAAATACATACAACTTAACACAAATCTTAGAACAAAAGGTGCAACAGACTTTGAAAAGAACTTCTTTAAACTAATGAACAATTCAGTATTTGGAAAGACCATGGAGAATGTCCGGAACAGAGTAAACGTTAAGCTGGTGACCGCCGAGGAACAGTTAAACAAGCTCGCGAAAAAGTCATACTTCAAAAGCGTAAACATTTTCACAGAAAACCTAATCGCTGTTCACATGGAAAAAACCACTGTCAAACTTGTAAAACCTATATACCTAGGAATGAGCATCTTAGACCTGAGCAAAACACTCATGTATAACTTCCACTATAACTACATCAAACCAAAATACGGTAATAATGCAAACCTACTCTTCACAGACACAGACAGTTTATGCTATGAAATTAAAACGGAAGATTTTTACAACGATATCACACCGGATGTTGAAAAATGGTTCGATACAAGCAATTACGACAAGAACCACAGCAGTGGAATACCGGTCGGAAAGAACAAAAAAGTTGTAGGCATGATGAAAGATGAATGTGGAAGAGAACAAATCTCAGAGTTCGTTGGACTCCGTAGTAAGCTGTATGCCTATAAAATGGACGAAGGAGAAGAGGAAAAGAAATGTAAAGGTGTGAAAAAGTGTGTAGTCAAAAACGAAATAGTATTCGAGGATTATAAAAATTGTCTATTCTCAGAAGCAAAACAATACAGAACAATGAATACATTCCGAAGCCGACAGCATGAAATAACAACGGAAAGAATTAACAAAACGGCACTTTCGGCAAACGACGATAAGCGTGTTATACTATCCGACAGAATACATACTCTAGCAATAGGACACTATCGACTCTCTCGGAAGGATTAAAAAAAAAATCGTTTCAAAAGTCGTGATGACGTCATCATTGAATTCTTTGGAAAATGATCACGTGATTGATGACGTCATAATTGAATTTCGGAAAAGAAATGCGTTAGAGGGACGGAGCGAACCTGAATTAATTAATGACGTCATTCATTAATCGACATTTACCGGACCGGTTTGAACCGGTTTAGAAAGCGGATCGAAAATGCGCTAGAACCCGCATTTCTATACTACTAGGGCACCAATTCCTAAGGATACTTTTCTACAGATAGTATCAATATGGTTCTTCCAAGTTAAATTTTCATCAATTGTTACACCTAAGGATTTCGTGTACTCTACTCTTTTAATTTGAGTGTTATCTACGCATATATTAAGATTGTTAACATCATGGTACATCATCCTCTGTCGAGAGCCAATGACCATAGATTCAGTTTTAGTAATGTTTAAACTTAATCTGTTCGCATTGAGCCAGGTGTTTAAACTACTCAGCTCGGTGTTCATAATTTCTTCAAGATATGTAAGATTAGAGCTTTGGAAGCTAATATTTGTGTCATCCGCACACATACTCGATAAGCCATTGTTCAGACAGTTTGACAAGTTATTGATATAGACCAAGAATAAAAGGGGACCTATTATTGAACCTTGGGGGACACCGTAAGTGATTGGTCGATTACTAGATAGATGTCCATTTACACAACATCTTTGTGTACGATCGGTTAGATAAGAGTGGAACCATGTTAATGCGTTTTCATCAACCCCGTATTGAGCAATTTTGTCCAGAAGAATTGCGTGATCAATAGTGTCGAAAGCTTTTTCCAAGTCGATGAAAACTACACCATTGAGTAGTCCATTGTCGATATTTATCTACCACCTATTTGTTGTTTCGATCAGTGCAGTGACCGCACTGTGCATTGTTCGAAACCCAGACTGCCTGAACAATAGTATCGAAAGCTTTTTTAAGTCGATGAAATCTACACCATTGAGTAGTCCATTGTCGATATTTATCGACCACCTATTTGTTGTTTCGATCAGTGCAGTGACCGTACTGTGCATTGTTCGAAACCCAGACTGCGTGATCAATAGTATCGAAATCTTTTTTTAAGTCGATGAAAACTACACCATTGAGTAGTACATTGTCGATATTTATCGACCACCTATTTGTTGTTTCGATCAGTGCAGCGACCGTACTGTGCATTGTTCGAAACCCAGACTGACAATTAGTCAGTAATTTATTGCACGTTAATTTGGTCGTGAATAATACTTTCAAATAATTTTGCCACGACTGAAATAATTGAGATTGGACGATAATTGTTGAGGCCGTGTTAGCACCATCCTTATGGATAGGTGTAACATTGGCAATTTTCCATTCTTTTGGGTATATACTAGTGCAAAGTGATTTGTTACAACACGTGTTACAAGAGTTTTCCTGTCTTTGTCCAAAGCCAAATAGGTTGAAACTGTTGAAAATTTGGTTTTTGCACCGTCCTTCAATTCAAAGCCTTCTTTCAAATGCAGTGATGAGGTTTCCTTCCTGTTAGTCACTTCTTTTCCACACGGTTTTCCTCCTACATTGATTATATATATGGCCATCAGATTACTTTCCACATTTCATGACCTTACCAATAGCAATCATTGCAATAGTCAATAATATCTTGACAATAAAAAGATTTGCTGTGTTTCTTCTGGCCTCACAATACACCAACGCTGGCAAAGTCACTAATCATTGCATAAACATATTACAGAAAAATTAATGTTTAATTCAACGTATGAACTTTTTTTAGTATTTTATATCATTAACCTTTGTACAGCTTATTGCCATGCCTCTTGAGACAAGTACAATCATCACATAACATTGATAATATCTAAATTCTAGATATTGACCCAATCCTATTTACTAGTAATAACTGGTAATGCTGAACCTGAGCGGGGAAGGGGCCAGGCTGCTAACTTTTCTGTGTGCATGGAAGATATCTTCCGCGTGTGCGTTTTTCGAGATGAAGTGCGTGTGTTTTAAGAATTGAAGTCAGGTGCGCATTAGGTGAGCACTTGGCACAGAATTTTTTAATTTTTTTGACAAAATGTACTTTTAAAACAACTCAAAAGTATGATACATTGGTGATATCACTGATGTGCGAATTTCCTCACTTAATACCCGAGTGTGCATTCTGTCCCTCCCGTGAAATATAAGTGCACATTTTTCGGCAACAAAATCATATTCGGTGCGCAATGAGCAAAGTTAACAGTCTGGGGAGGGAGATATAGGTAAAATGCATGTCGGATATATGAGATATCATATATGATCGGTCCCCCGATCCCTGCTACTAACTCTTGACCAAGGGCTTTCGCTCGAAACGTCGAGTTTCTGCTTGTTTTTTAAGGTAGTAATATAACCACTCAGCACAGCATTTTCACATTGGTTCTGCCTACACTGGTACAGACCGTTTTATTAGACATCTCGTGCCTCTTTCTATCTTACTTAGCATATATCAATGTTTAATACTGCCATATATAACCTATGGTATAATTGTGTTGGGACGGACATCAAATGTTTATTTAAATAAGATTCTTATTCTCCAAAAACGGGCTTTGCGCCTGATTAGTTTTAAAAATTATAAAGAACATGCCATCCCGTTGTTTAGTAATTTAAATATCCTTCCTTTGAATATGCTGTATTATAAGCGGACAGTGTGTAACTTAATGTATGATGTCTCTAACAGTTCTTACCCGTCTGATATTTAATTCTGATTGTTTTGTTCAGGCAAAACATATATGCACACCCATAATACTATAGACATTGCACAGCTAACAATTTTTACATTCAATACTCAAGATTAAACAAACATAATGAATCTTTTGTAAAACTCGGCGCAAAAATATGAAATAATATTTCTGACAATGTACGTGAATTTGGAAGTTTACTAAAACAATACATAAAACGCTCTTAACTATACTAAAACTTGAGGACGATTATGTTGGTGTGCCTAGGTTAAATTAACACAATTGATGACTCAATTAATGCAATTGAGGTTAAATTAATAGCTACAATTGATGGCAATCAATTGCCTCTCTTAGCTAAGCTATTAGCGGATAGTATTGTACGTTATAAACGCGTCTTTTAAATTAATTAAATAAAGTATCAGTATCAGTGCATGAATGCCAAGTCTATTAACATTCTTGAAATTAAGTTTCCATTATTCTCGTTGATTCGTTAATTAATTGTTCGTATTGAAATGTTTGAGCAAGATCACTGACGATTCTTTTTGTCTGAGGTGAAATCTAAAGTTCTCCAAGATTGTTCCAATCACAGTTGAAATCTCCAATTGTGATAACTTCCTTATTTTCACAATCCATTTTTGTAAAACACTCATCGTAATCACTAAACAAATCAGGACTTGTAGCCGGTGGTCTATGCCACGTGTTGATTAAAAACGACTTCGCTTTTGGCTTGAAGATTTCAGTTGTGATTGCATGATTCCAAATTTGCGTGATATAAGTCTGGCCGTAATTTGTAGCTTATACAATTTCTAATATAGATAGCAATCGATCGAACATGACTCAGAGCGTGCAACCAAAATTCTCATTATCTCTTCAGACGCTTCTCTGTAACCTTTAGAAGTATTCGTGAAACATCCTCAAAATGAATAAAACATTTATTCAATTTGACCTTCTTTGCCAGAAAAAATAAGATATACTAGAGAGAGAGAGAGGACATAACTTCATTTTGCCGCTTGTTCGCACAGAATGTTAATATTAAAGGCGCACTTAAAAACATAAGTTTTTAATTTTATATAAATAGTAGCTTTATTGTAGTTTTTACCATAGGTCTCATAGAATTGTAAACTGCAAGTCTGTTGTTGAGTATTTTTATAATAAAGATCAAATCAATCAATCAATCAATCAATCAATCAATCAATCAATCAGTCAATCAATCAATTACATGTTTGAGTAAGCAGCTTGTTTCAGCCGCCATATTGGTTTTATCCACGCGTGGCAGCAATGTTGCCATGGACACGCGTGCGATTTAAAGTTGGCGTAAACGAAACATTGATCAATATTATCAAAGTTTAAAGTCTATTTTCTACCTATTATGCACACTAGTGAACGGGGCCTTTGTATTTCCTGAACAAGAAGGCTAATATGCATTGTGTTATGGCAGAATTTTTTAGCCTCGCGACATGTGCAACGGACTTGAAAGATAGAGCAGGATAGGTGACCGTCTAAATTCGGAAAGTTCGTTTCTGAATTTTTTCTACTTCGTCAGATAAAAGCCATGGAATCGAGGTGTGAGTCACCTAACCGGAGCACAATACTCCATCACTGAGCGCACAAAGGATTTATACACAGTTAGGACTTCATTCAGGAGCGTAGGCACAGAGGGCACGTCCCCCCATTTTTTTAAATGTCCCAAAGTGCCAATTTGTGTGCAGAAAAGTGCTCTTTTTGTACAAGCTAATATTGCTGTAAATACTAAATTAACATCAAAGGTTCCCTTTTAGTTACGAAATTTCGATGTTTTTTTAAAAAAAAAAGGCGAAAACGTGCAATTTTGGTATGGTATAACGGGAAATGCCCCCCCCCCCTCTTTAGGCGCCCTTTTCAAGATCGTAAAGTGCCTCTGGAAGCCAGTTTCCCCCCCCCCCAATTTTTTTATGCTTCCTACGTCCACGTCTTCATTAACATTTACACAATTAATTTAAAGAACACGTGGAAATCAGCGAAAGTGGACGAGGCTGAAATGTTGTTTTTAAATATAGTTTTACCTACCTACCTATGGAATGCCACTTGACCTTGTTGAGTGACTA